AAGAGCCAGGCGAGTCTTACTACATATAAAACACAGAGGTGCAGCGGTCCAGGATCTGCTCAGTCCTGGCTCGTGCCGGGGGTAGGGAGCTACCCCTGCTGCGGCTCTGCAGCTTAAAATTAGTAGCAGCTGGGCTGCCTGTGTGCCCGGCTCCTACTACATTTAAACTGCAGAGCTGCAGTGGGGGTAGCTTCTGGACCAGCTCAAGGAGAGACAGTGTGCCTCCCCTTATCAACTAATCATGTCGTCGATACAAATTGTAGCAACGATATGATTAGTCAATTACCCACTTCTTAACATCCTTAGCTCTATCATTATATCACTAGATCTAAATCAGTGGTGAGCAGCCTGCAGCCTGAGGGTCACTAGGGTTCTATGTGTGTCCCACGAGACATTTTGTTTACTGTTGCCGATGTGCAGGGTTGCCATATTCTGCTGGTTTCCATCCACAGAGTTTTTTTTCCCACCAATATTACTAAAGTGACATGCACATAAAGCAAGGGCACATGCAGTGAGGTGCGTACTGATTGCACACAACAATGACTATGAGAGCTAGGCACTCCCTCTGCATTCAATCAAAGTGCTGCTATGGTTCTGTCAGCACACCCTACAAATTCTAGGTACACAAGCATAGTTAGCAAAATTATCCTATACTAGGAGGCCATCTTGGTTACAACAATCTTGCGGCACACTGAAATGAAGGAGGGACACTCTTGCTGCCTATTCACTAGGTTGCCCATCGCTGATCTAAAGTCATACAACACGGTATTATATATTTATTTTACATTTCTTATTTCTGATATTGTAATGTTGTTATACTCTCATAACTGCACTTCTGCTACAGCATGTGTAAATCAACATAAAAGTTATAATATATTGAGATATTGTATATTTTAGGGAATATTTAAATTAATATAAATTACATTATTAACATTTTCCAATATTTCCAATCTCTCTCTTCCTGGGACTTGGCACTTTCAGGTCCAGATCTGGTGACCTCAATGAAAGCAGAATTTGACCCAAACTTACACACAAGTTTTCAGCAGAAACAAATTATAGCTCAGTTAAACACACACACAAAAAACTCACATTCTCTTAGTTTTGCTTTCCAGACAATTTCTTCAGATTCATCTTCAATCAAAGATAAGGTAAACACCATAGGTTGCTCCAAGTAGACTTCAAAATAATGTTTTAATTTTAAGACCGAGCCATCACAAAATTCAATTTCCTAAAACATTAAATCAATTTTTTTAAAAGCTGAAATATTTACTCAAAGCATTAAATAGCTTACACATAAAAAGACAGCTTTTGGAAAAGCTGTGACATAGATATGAAGTGAAACCCTGGCCAAATAAGCCAACAGGAGGTTTCCTAATGATTTCTTAGGATCCTGGATTTACCTCCTTGGTTTAGAGTTTCTAAGTTTAGAGATTTCCTATAATAACAACAAACAAATGTGCTGAAATTCATTTACACTAACACATGACCTAAATTTCTACGGCATATAAATGATCAAATATATATTTCTGCAAAATGTTTTCAGTCCAATTATGTGTTCATGTACATACCTCAGGAGTTATTTCAGCTTCTGATTCACTGATTAATTTGTATTTCTTTCCATCTTGTAGTCGTTTTTGACAAACTGGGGGCTTGTCAATTTTGATGAATTTCTTACCAGAAGATTTTACTGTTTTCGTGATATCCTAAAATTTTAAAATATATTTTACTTGATACTCATCCTGGTCAACAAATTAAATAATTTCATAAACGTGGATGTGCTTTTAAACTTTCTTGTGGTTTTCCTCTATCTTTAGAGGAAATGGATGGTGATGCTTTCCCTTGGAAAGTGAATGGTAATATCAAACATTTGCAGATCATGGAATATATTCTCCCTCACATCTAGACAGGTTCACATATTGGTGGAGCCTTCAATCTGTGCATATCAGTCAGCTATTGTATTTGTATGATATCCCATTAAGTGCAAATAATGAATGAGATTATCTACAAGGCTTTTTAAAGTACTACTCACAACTTTCATGTCTGATCATTATGAATATTCTTTTTTAACATACACATGCCTTTCCACACATCAAGCCTTACGAAAAGTAATATACAAATTTACGATTTTTAGCAAGGAACCACCAGAGAAATATTGTACCTTATCTGGTTTCATTGGCACCTGTCCTCTGAAGTGCTGAGCTTTTTCCACTGCTACTGAGAAAACTTCCCAGAGGAAATAAGGGGTGCCCAATTGTTTGCAGGATTGGGTTCTAATTGCTAACATGTTAACTGCATATCTAGCCAAGTCTAGGATAGTAAAATACTGAATAAAGCAAGAAGCAAGTCTATTATTGACCCCTTCCAAAGAGCATCACAATGTTGATCAGAGTGAGTCCTGGCAGGTCTCATAAGAAAGGCCATACTGGGTCAAACCAAAGGTTCATCTACCCCAGTAACCTGTTTTTTGACAGTAGCCAATGCCATGTGCCCCAGATGGAATGAACAGAACAGGTAACCATCAGTGATCCATCCCGACACCCATTCCCAGTCTGACAAATAAAGGCCAGGGACACTATCTCTGCCCATCCTAGATAATAGCCATTGATGGACCTATCCTCCATGTACATAGCTAGTTCTTTTTTGAACCCTCTTGAAGTCCTGATCTTCACAATATCCTCTGGCAGGAGTCCCACAGGTTGACTGTGCATTATGTGAAAAAATACTTCCTGCTGTTTATAACCATTTTGAGAAACCTGTTAGCTGGCTGAGTCAGTTTGCTTACTTACCGGTACTGCAGCCACGGAGACTCATGACTCCTATTGGCTCCGATTAGCTGTTTGCAGCCAAGGGGAGCTGCAAGAAGTGGTGTGGATAGGATCATTGCTTTGGCTGCAAATGGTGAAACGGAGCCAATAGGAGCCACAAAGTTCCATGGCCATAGCACCAGGAAGTAAATAAACTGGTGTAGACAGTTCATGGGTTCCTCAAAGTGGTTTTGTGAACCACTTTGAGAAACACTGTGTTATGGGAAGGAGTAAGTAACTTTTATTTTCTTTCCCCACACAAATCCTCTATCACATCTTCTCCTTAGTCATCTCTTTTCCAAGCTAAAAAGTTCCAGTTTTATTAATCTCTCTTCATATAGCAGCCATTTCAACCCCCCCTAAAAATTTCTGTTGCCCTTTTCTGAACCTTTTCCATTATATCGTTTTTGAGATGAGGTGACCACATCTGCACACAGTATTTAAGATGCAGGTGTACCATGGATTTATAAAGAGGCAATAATATACTTTCTGTTTTATTATGAATCCTTTGCTTACTGATTCCCAACACTATTTGCTTTTTTGACTTCCACTACCCATCCTGGCTAATAGCCATTGATGGACCTAACCTTCATGAGTCTGTCTAGTTCTTTTTTGAACCCTGTTAAAGTCCTGATCTTCACAATATCCTCTGTCAAGGAGTTTCACAGGTTGACTGTGCGCTGCGTGAAGAAAAACTTCCTTTTGTTTCTTTTAAACCTATTACCTATTAATTTCATTTGGTTCTTATGCTATGGGAACAAGTTAATAACTTTTTCTTATTCACTTTCTTCATACCTATCTTGATTTAATAGACCTCTATCATATCCCCCCTTAGTCGCCTCTTTTCTGAAAAGTCCCAATCTTATTAATCTCTATTCATATGGCACCCATTCCACACCCATAATCATTCTTGTTGCCCGTTTCTGAACCTTTTCCAATGCAAGTTACCTTTTTTGAGATCGGCAACCCTATCCATACGCAGTATTCAAAATGTGGGCATACCAGGGATTTATACAGAGGTAATAAGATATGTTTTGACTTATTCTCTATCCCTTTTTTAATGATTCTCAACAGTCTATTTGCTTTTTTGACAGCCGCTGCACATTGAGTGGATGTTTTCAGAGAACTATTCACAATGACTCCATCTCTCTCTTGAGTGGTAACAGCTAATTTAAACCCCATCAATTTAAATGTATAATTAGGATTATGTTTTCCAGGATGTGTTACTTTGCATTTATCAACATTGAATTTCATCTATTCTTCCATTTATTCTTCAGTAACTTTCAAATATCATTATCTAGCTATTATATGATATGGAGCAGTTCAACAATATATTCTGTCACAAATGATGAGAGTGAATGACAGAGTATGAACTAGTCTGGAAGCTGAACTTCTACCCTTATTCTGATCCTGCAAGCACTACGTGAATGAAATTCCCAGTGACTCTAAAACCTCTCTATATGTGAGATATTCTACTGGAAGATCAGTTTATCTATGGCTACAACTCCATACATTTGATAATATTGGATATGAGGCCTAAAACCTATTACAATGACAATATTGTAATGATCAACAGTTGGGCATTTTTATATTAAATTTGAGCATTTCCCACTTAAGTTAAAAAAAAATTTACCTTTATAAATGAATCATTATTTGTTGCTACATACACACGAAAAGATAAGGAAGGGTGATTATTGACAACTTTGTATAAAATTACAGCTCCATCATAATATACTGGCTCTTGTGTTTGAACGACCGGTCCGACCGGAGAGAGAGAACTCACATGCCATTTGACATGCGTCATTGAATGATCAACAGAAGGCTCAATTGATGGACCAGTACTTTTAATATGTAAAACTTTGAATGACATGTCAGATTCATGATCTGCAAAGAGATACCAAAATATTAACATTGCTTATAATGAATAGCAATAGATAGATGCACTTGTTAAATCAATGTATTGTACTTACCATTTAGGCTGAGGGAATGTGGGAACTGAATGGAAGTAAGATCAGAGGCCGAGTCACAACTGATATTAAATAGAGGGCCTCCGACAATCCATGGTTTTTCAATATAATCAGCATATTTGCTCCAAGATAACACAGAATATTTGATTACAACAGCCTTTGTTACATCAAATATCAAGCCTGTAACAGTACACTGATATGTTCCCTCTGCCTCCAGCTTCAACCTGTATTGAACAAAGGTGACAAATCCAGTTTAGCTTTCATTACATGGTAAATATCATGTGATGTGATCTTTTTAAAAATGGTTCATATTAGATCTTTTTTTTTTTTAAGTGTTTCCTTTGGAGGTTTTCTCCCCACCAAGAACAAAACCCTATTAACAAACAAAAACATGGAAATAGAACATAAAATCTTTTTATTTTATTTTTTAAATTGAACCTAGGTTTGTTTGTTTTTAGCATATCAGCTAAATAAGGCTGGTAAAATAATATCCAAAGGCCATATCAGCCCTCCAAGACACTGGATCTAGCCTGCGGGTGAAGTGGGAGCCTCAGCAAGGCTCCTTGCCTGCCCCACTCCTGCACATTCCTTAGAACAGCTGGCTGCAAGGCCATGTGTGTCTGTGAACTTTGGGGGTAGGAAGGGAGAGACTTTGTATGCTGCCCCCACCCCCAGCACAAGTTCTCAGCTCTCACTGGCATTCAGAGCAGCAAACATGATCCCTGCTTCACTGGGGAGCCTACTGGGCAGCGCTGCTGGCTAGGAGCCACACAGGTGAGCGCCTCCCAGTCAGAGCCTGCCTCTGGCACCTCAGCCTCTTCTTCTCCCCAACCCTCGGTTCCCTCTCCTGAACCTTTACCCTACATAGCCCAAACCCTCTACACTTCTACTCCTGCACCCATACCCCCTACAAGATCCTGCACCCCCTCCTGAACTCCTCTGGGTCACAATCTCCTCCCAGAACCTAAACAACCTCCTACATCCTTCCCCTAGGTCAGAATCCTCTCCTGCACCCATACCTCCTCCTGGACACTACACCTTTTCCTGCACCCTAGTCTCCTGCACCAAGTCATAACCCTCTCCTTCACCCAGACTCCCACCCAGAGCTCACACCCTTCCTGCACCTCAGTCTGTTACCCCAAGTTCTCTTCTGCACCCAACCTCCATCCCAGACACCATGCCTCACCCATTAATACCATGGAAGAGTGTGGCCTTTGACCACTTACTAAATTCTTAGAGTGGCCCCTCATCAAAAATTGTGACAAGTATCAGAGAGGTAGCCATGTTAGTCTGAATCTGCATAAATAACGACACCTTATATGCATCTGACGAAGTGGGTCTTTGCCCACGAAAGCTTATGCTCCAATAAATGTGTTAGTTTATAAGGTGCCATGGGACTTCTTGTTGTTCATCAAAAATTATTGCCCATCCCTGAGCTAAATGAACGCAGTTGGAGGAAGTTCAAGCCAGTGCAGAATTTGATACACAGGTAAAGCGAAGAGCTGTTTCCTGCACAGGGAGCTCAAAGCAATTCCCACTGATTTTAATAGATGCTGAGCCAGACCTTAACTAAAGATTCTGAAGGTATATATTTACAACAGCAGCTAGGAAGGTGATTCTTACATGTATACCAGCTAGTCCATACAGAAGTCTGCCCAGACTACTACCTGTACCACAACATCCACACAACTATTTTTAGCATGCTAGCTCAAGCAGACCTAGCACATGTCTGACAATGGTGGAAATCACTCTTCCAGATGCTGTATAGATAATACCCTGAATGATATTCAGAAGTTATCCCAAGCAGAGCACATTACAGTAATCCAACGCAGAGGTCAGAAATGCATGAGTAACTGTGGCAAAGCAGACATCCAATCCAAATGGAAAGTACACAACCCTCTAGAAAAATTCAGGTGGGAAAAGGGAATTATAGAACAAGATACTTTACAGAAGCCTCAGTCTCACGAAGGATTTAAACTCATGCTTAACTTTAATTACTTTAATGGAACTGTTCATATACTTAAAGTTAAGATTTCCTGGATTGAGCACAGAATCCAGTACTGATAAGAGTAATGAACTATCTATTTTAATGGATTTTGAGGCATATTCACTTACAGTTATGCATGTTATTGAGCAAGATACATAAGATAATTTAATCTTTTATGTAATTCAGCTGAAGAGAGAAGCAATTTGATATGAAAAATACAAACGTTTACCAAATACATTAAATTATACCTACCAAAATTGTCCTCTCGAAAGTTTTCTGGGGGTCACTTGCTCTTTCTGGTTCTGTACATATAAATGAATACATTTGATGAAGCATAAATTTTGCAGTATTTTGTACAATTTGAAAATACTAATAGCAATTCTAATACGGATTTTAAAAACATACATGTTCAGTCTTGATGTGTTCACAGCGAACTTGGCTGGTAGCCTCTAAATGAAAAAACAGGAAAAAAATAAACACTTTAAAATGAAAAATAATTAAAAATTGACAGATGCATAATTTCAACAAGAGCCATGGTTCACCAAGTGGCAGAAATTCATTCTTTTCCAACTCTATCTATAAAAATATTACTTTTATAAAATATACAATTCATAGGACACACTGAATATGAGCCATTGCAGCTTGAGTATAATTCCCTACGCATAATTATGTAAGATTACCTTTATAAAATATACATTTCATACACAATTATGTATAGGGAACTATACTCACTCTGAAATGGGCCCTATTCAAATCTGTTGCATAAAGTGGAGGATGACCTTTTTAATACCCTTTCCTCACCTCTAAACATTTTAACATCCCTTTGATTCTAGGATTTTTCACAATATAATCCAGTGATGCTTTATAGAAATATATTATATATCAAATCCATCAGCCCTTGTACAAATTTCTGCCCTCAGGTTTACTGACACAATCCCGCAAATTTCAACTGCCTACACAAAAGAAATTAAGCTACTATTCCCTTCCCTCATCAGCCCTCTGTCACTCCTCTCCTTCCTCAGTGAATCCCATTCTCCCTCCTCCCACATTACCCCAGGCTTCCTCTGCCCCACCCTGGTTCAGCTGTTGTCCTTTCTCCATTTCACTCAGGTTGCTTCCTCCTCACCACTCCCTGCATGCACACATAGAGATCACTGAGATACCAGGAGAGACTCTTGCCACTCTCATCTCTGGTGTGTTACAGCAGCCCACATTATCAGGGAGCAACAATGGTAGGAAAAGTCCTGCATATGCTGGAGCATACTCAGTTGCTGCATCAGGATGGCACATCCAGAGTTCAGTCACAAGTAGGAGCAGAGAGGGGCTGCAGCATTATCAGTACAGATGGAATCTTCAGAGAATTGTACTGCCAAATTAAAACAAATTTCTACTGAACATGTGCAAAGTGAGATTTTAAAGGCTTATAACTTGGCCAAACTGAAGCACTTTTTTATGTGGATGGCAAAAGGCCTGTCCCTGATACCAGGGATGTCTTCATCTGAAGCAGTGGGTTGTGCCCATGAAAGCTCATGATACCATCTACATTTTTTGTTAATCTCTAAGGCTACATCTATACTACAATTCTCTTCCACAAGAGGAAATACAAATGGAGCACTCATTTGCATATGTCAGGCTCTCACTTGCATGTCCTCAGATCCCTTTTGCGCAAAAGGTTTTTGTGCAAAAAAGTGCCGTGTAGACAGCACTTTTTTGCGCAAAAACCTCTTGCACATAAGGGATCTGAGGAGGAAATGCAAATGAGAGTGTGACATATGCAAATAAGCACTCCATTTGCATTTCCTCTTGCGGAAAAGGATCGTAGAATAAACGTAGCCTAAGGTGCTGCAAGACTATTCGTTATTTTTTAAGTTTTTTCCTGATACAAGGGTGATTTCCCTATGCCAAAATTCAAGTCCTAGTTTTAAAACATAGATGCACTAGAGCTCCTCAATGAAATGGCTGAAATAATTTTTCTTTTTCAATATGAGCTAAACAAAGTTTTTTTCCCCTAATATTGTTTTTTGAAATGGCTGAACCATTTTTGCTGAAACTTTGAAAAAAGCTTCAGTCTGAGACAGACTGGAAAGTATCAGCCTGAATCATTAAAGTTTGGCAAAAAAAGTAACTGAAAACAGAGACTTATAATGGGAAATATCAGGCTACCTTAACTATAGGAGGCACTATCAGCTCTACCTATGATATGACTTGATTCTGCAACTAATCATGGTGAGTAGTATATACTCACATTTACAGTGCCATTAAGATAACTCCAGCAGAAAGGGATGCAGAATCAGGCTGACACAGTCTTTAAGTACATGATCACATTATCTTAGGGGGGATGTGTGTATATCTTTGGTTTGGAAAACATGCTATCTGAAAAACAATATGTGAACATAATTAAAGACTGAGCTGAATCCATTCTTGAGTAAACTCTATTTTACTCGATAATGTTACAACTCAGATTAATTTGTCCCACAGCTATTTATGATGCTTTCAATCAAGGAAGTACAGTAACTTTGGTATTTCCTAAATTTTTGGGTTCCTAATTCTGAACCTTTAAAATTGCATTAAGAAAGAATTTTTAAATTTATGTATTAATAAATACACAGTGTAAGAGCACAAGCATACACAACATAAATTCTTAACTGGGCTCTTCTTTAATTTGGGAAGAGATTAATAGGAAAGAATGCTTGATAACCAGACTATGTTACTGAGTCATTTGTTTGCTCTTGTATCCCATTGTCTGCTATAAATTATTGTAAGAATTACGTATGAATCCTTATGGAAGTTGTCCTTTTACAGCAACAGACATAAGAACAAAAATATATAAACTCACCTGATTTTTTTATATCTGGTTCCTCAGTATCTGCAGACAAAAAGCCTTCTGATTATTTAAATTCAAATTATATTACCAAATTGTATGAACTATAAATAGACAGCTAGCAATATAACACACAAACTTCAACACATGCATCCCTTTCACCAACAGCAATCACTTCCTGCAATTCTTTTTCTGTTCATCCTGTTTTGCTACTTTTGCTGCCAATTTTACATGTATCTATGACCTCTTGTTGCTTAGGACTAATGTGGTAAAAAAAATGATTTCAACAAGTATTGTGTCTGGAATAAAACAACTTTAGCCATTTTTTATTTATTTCTGTAAATCCTCATGTGTGAATGACCATGAGAATTATTTGGACATGTAAAAAACTATTCAGCTTCTCATGATCATGGTAAACAACTGGTTTGAAATTACGTACATAAACAGCAGTGTTTTAATCATTTAAAATCAATCTAGATGCTTAATGACAGCAAGAAAACACAGATAATGTTACATAATAATACTCACCTGACTCACTTTCAGAGCTATTTTCGGAGGTACTTTCAGAACTGTCATCTCCTTAAAAAAATTACATCCCATTAGGCATGGTAATAATTAAGTACTTCACAGATAAGCAAAACGTAAACTTAGCTATGTAAGTAGATTAGCTGGGCAACAACTTATACACATAGAAGAGAGAAAGAAAATGTACTAGCCCTTACAAAAGGGGCTTTCTTGCTGAGAATATATGACACCAATGCTCTAGAATCTGCCCTGGCTTCCTACTGATTTAGCATTAGAGTTTAAGAGGTTGGTTATGACACCTTGAATGATCTGGAATCTGCCTGTCTGCCTGAGAGACCACCTCTAGTCCCATAACATAAAGTTCCCAGTTGGGTCTGTCTACACGTGTACCCTATTTCGAAGTAGGGATGCAAATGAAGACATTTGAAATTGCAAATGAAGCCGGGATTTAAATATCCCGCACTTCATTTGCATAATCGCGTTATGGCACTATTTCGAAATAGCACTCAAAATAAAACGCACTGTGTAGATGCAGTATTTCGAGAGAAAACCCTTCTCTCGAAATAACTGTTAAACCTCATTTTATGAGGAATAAGGGTTATTTCACGAGAAGGGTTTTCTCTCGAAATAATGCATCTATACAGTGCATTTTATTTCAAAATAGCGCTATTTTGACATAGCACCATAACGCAATTATGCAAATGAAATGTGGGATATTTAAATCCCAACTTCATTTGACATTTAAAATGTCTTCATTAGCATCCCTACTTCGAAATAGGGTACAAGTGTACACATACTCAGTTCAGCTATCTAAGCTATGGCTGGGCCACTGCAAGAATACTGGGAGAAGAATTCCATGAATCCTCTTTCCACTCTAACTTATCTGCACAGACCAGCCATGATTTCACCCACAGACAATGAACGAGTTGCAAAAAGGTTTCATTACTTTACATTTAAAAGCATAGGATGAAAAGAAAACATTACTAAGAAATAAATACAATTTAAGGAATTTGCATAAAATGATATCACAGGCTTACTCCATCAAACCATCATGAGAAATTCCTCCCTTTATTTACATAACACCTTTGCAACATGATAAACCTTATTTAGATGCCTTTTAAAAGGACCAAAACAGTAGTTCAAGCTTGTTCTATGAAGTCTGGTGTCAACCAAAATGTAAAATTTCTCACACTTAAAGAAGAGAATATTATTTGGATTATTTGATTGCTATTTTCAGTGGATTCTTCAATAAGACTAGGAGCTTTAGTAAGAATAATACTTTTCTGCTTACCTGATTTACACTCTTGAGCAGAGTCATCCTCTTTAATGCCATAACTTTCTTCTTTAGAAAAAATAAATAAAGTAGGGGATTAAATATGTATGTTGCACAAGAAAAATGAAAGAATGGATAATGTTTTAAAATGCATGCAATCACTTAAAGTCCATGGCCCCAGACATGCAGTAGGGGCTGCATATGCCATAGTTGCTATTGGCCAACCTCACTGCATATACCATGGATTCCTTGCACCCCTTCATTTGCACCTTCACATACCTTCTATTTCAAGGACTCCCTACTACCCTCCCCCTTTATGTCAAGGACTTTGTGTCCCCCTTTCCTTCTTCCTCAGCATGCCAGAGGCTGTTTGCCCCTAATTCCCTCCTTCCTCAGGCCATGGATTTGCGTAGCTTGACCAATTATATCGGTCTTATTATTTGCAGATATTTACCGTTATCTGGCAGAAACTTAAAACCCACAAATGAATGTTTCTGTCAACTTTATTATAAAATAGAATTAAATTGCTCAGTTATTATAATTATTATTAGTTATTATGTGTATTGTGGTAGCACCCAAAAGCACCAGTCATTGACCAGGACAATGGACAGCTGGGTGCAAAATTAAACTCACAAATCTATCTATATATAAAATAGATTTTCCTACGGGATGACAGTGTGACATCATGCATCTCTCTGCATCCCACAGCCCCTCCCTCCACTCTTAGCCACATGGCCTTCCCTCTCCCCTCTGTGCTCAGTAGGAACCACGAGCCATGTGCCACCCCTGTGCTAAGAGTGGGGGTGGGCTGTGCAGCCTC